TCAAGATGTTGCTGCGGCTCTTCAGCCCTGCTTCTAAGGAATCCAGACATTGAACCTTATCCCAGTGCAGCACTCAACACTACAGCTTAAGTTAACAGCCAGTTTTGTGCAGGACAGCCACAGGGCTGTAACAAGGGTTACGTGACGGGCTTTGGGAATTTGTGCCCAAAGGCAAGGAAGGTTGAGTTCACTAGAATTAATAAGGTGGCTTGGGGGCAAGTGTAGGGTGTGCAAGATGAGAGTTTTATTTTCTGCCCTACCACGAACTTTCTGGCTGCCTGTAGGCAGATTGCTCTGGTTTCCCCCTGCTTGTCTTTCCTTTTAGGAAAATAAAGGGTTACGTGACGGGCTTTGGGAATTTGTGCCCAAAGGCAAGGAAGGTTGAGTTCACTAGAATTAATAAGGTGGCTTGGGGGCAAGTGTAGGGTGTGCAAGATGAGAGTTTTATTTTCTGCCCTACCACGAACTTTCTGGCTGCCTGTAGGCAGATTGCTCTGGTTTCCCCCTGCTTGTCTTTCCTTTTAGGAAAATAGGAACAATAGGTATTGACTACCTTGCATGAGCACCAAGGTGCTTTTACCTCATGCAGATATGAAAGTAATAAGAGCCCAGGGCAGGCATTCGGAGGCAGGGGAGTAATGAGCTCAGAGCAGGGTGCCTGATGTATAAAGCCCATTTGGAAGAGAATAAGCAAGAAGTATTCAAAATAGATCTTTTCCCCAAATAACAATTATTTCATTTCAATATAGTTCTTGCTGAGACTTAGTCAGTCATATCATGGTAGCACACCAACAGGTATCGCTGCTGTAAGTGCAGATTTCCCCAGGTAAACTGTTTAAGTGCTGTATCTACAACACAAAGCAGTAAAGACAGAGGCTGGGGCGGGGGGGAAGCATCTCACTTAGGGCCCTCCCAAGATAAGTTTTCACTTACTAGGGGGGATAGCTGAGGTAGCCTTAGGTGAATTAGCTCATGTATTCTTGTCATCTTGCTAGAGCAGAAGGAGATTCTTGTAGCCTGAATTCTTACTAGGGTAAATTAATACTCATCAAATTCAGTGCAGGTGAGGCCAGCCTAGCTTGGTACCTAAGTGAACCTATTTGAAAGCTCAGCCAGGACCTCTGCAGTTTTGCTCTGTAGATATGCAGCTCTTGACCTGAATTATTGTCAGTGGACAAAAAAAAGGCACTTCTGAAGTGTCATTCATTGTAGGTGCTCATCTCAGGATGAGAAAAATTATGATACAGAAAAGTCTGTTCCTCTGTGGTGGATGTAGTAGACCATGTGTATCTAAATTTGGGTGTTAACTGCTGTGTGGGCCTGGGCTAGATTTCAGGTATGGAGGTGAAAGGCTCTGTGTTATGTGAGCCAACCAGTAACGTAATTACAGGCTGCTTCTTGTAATGCTTTGGAGATACTAGGAAAACATTGCTTCTTAAAACAGCCTCTTTCCTTTCTCCCCTCTGTGCACAGTGAAATACAGTTCAGCTCCTCTAGTACTACCACATCAGAGAGCCAAGAACCGTCTTCCGGGGATCAAGGAGCGAGCGCGCTTCAGCAGCAGCTCCTACTGATGGTGGCACGAAGGACCCATTCAGAAGGCCCACGGGTACATTGTAATATCTCAGTTTCTAGCATTTTAATAAACTGCTTTATAAACAAATGCTGCAGGCTTGTTCCTGAGATGTTTTGTTGATTTTCTATACCACTTGGCCTGGTGTTGTTCATGTGGGAGATGTATTTTATGTTGATGGATGCAAGTCAGCTGCTTTCTACTGATACTGAGTAGTGTCCCAGGAGAGTACTTAAAGAATCCATCACTTAAAAAGTTCATCTTCTATCTTTAGTCTTATTTCATTTGAAAGAAAGAGGACACAGCTGTTAGGATTATAGACACACCAGCAGATTTTATTAGTATGAAGTGTTTATTCCAAATTCATTACTATCCTAAAACCTCATGTCTGGTTTCACTTTTCTGAATCGGTCAACCAGACTTCTGGATGTCTGTTGTAGAATGTCACGGCCACCTCCTCATATCAGCTGGTAAAAGAAAAAGGCCCTCAGAGTTCAGTTTGTGTGGTAATATGTGGACATACTTGAACTTTACAGGGTTTGGGGTCTGTGACCAATGACTTAAGGCTGATAACTGTTTTTAGAATTCCTTTTATGATAACTTCAACCTTCTCTTTTCTTCCCTGGAAAATTCTAGTTTGATATTTATGACTAACCTTAAAATGTTAAAATGCCAGTTAATTATCTTTCATCTTAGATTTTGCACAAGAACTTAAAGTTAGAAGCAGCTTCTATAAAGGAACTATTTTAAATTAAAAAATCAGGAAGTTGTCCTGAATTGTGTATTTCAGGTTTGGACAGAGACTTCTATCTAAAGGCTCAGATGTTTTGCAGATATTTATAATCTTGTAAACTGTAAATTAGAGAACAATTATCATGCCTTTTTTTAAAATTCCTCTTCCAGGAAAACTGTACCATTAAGGCATATTGCTCAAGATCACATAGCAAGTTTGTAACAAGGCCAGGCAGTAATTTCAGAAATTCTTGGTTTCTGTTTGTTTTGTTGTTGTTGTTGTTTTCTTTTTTTTTCTTTTTTTTTTTTTTTTAAACATGAAATTCTGAGCCTGTGAATATCAGGAAAAGTTTTGTTGTTCATTTCAATGAAGCTAGGGCTTCAGGCTGTCTCTGACACAATAAAAATTTATTAAGTGAATTTTTATAATCCCCTTTTTTGATAGGAGGCACAATTAGACTTAGTGACTTGCTCAGAGCTAGTCAGAGAGTTTCTCACAGATCGAAAAATCTGACTTCAGCCCAAGTATTGCAAGCCTCATGGAATGGACTTCATCCAAAAGTTACAGTTCCTTGGGAGCTGAAATGTTCACTTAGGCACTCAGTTAAATATGTATTAAACTCTTCTGAGGACTGAACAAACCAATCCGCAGATGTTTTTAATGGAATCTGCCACCATATTGATTTTTTTTTTATTTAGTTATAGTGAACAGTCTAGATTAGATGAGTGAAGTTAATGATTGCAGTTGAGTTTCACGTTACTTTCTGTTGGAATGTAGGACCCAAGACATACCAAACTGTGCCAGTATTAGCAACTGTAATATTTTAAAATTTATTTTTTCTTTAAAAATGCCCAAATTCCATAATTAAGGAACTTTTTAAAATGGTAATAGAAATATTAAAATTTTGAGTACCTAAACTAATTTTAGGTTTTAAAATCAGCGTGATGAAAGGATTGCAATCAGTCTCACAGCTTTTAAATTATCTGGAATGGTTTGTAAATGAAAGAATGCCAGAAAGTGCAGCATCCTCTTGCATGTCTGAATGCTCAGAAACATGAATGAGTTACTGTCCTGTGCTGATAGCGGCTGAGCTACCCGGCACTGCATGGCTGTGTGCTCTTAGTCAATTGCAGGCATGAGATAAAATACATAAACTTGAATTTCTTTCTCTGAAGCTGTTTTACTTCACGTTTGCCAGCAGACTGGGAATATCAATGAGGTGGTTCCCAGATGACACGTAGCAATACATGAAGTCACATATAAATTATGTGTAAAATTCTTTTTTCTAGAAGATGAAAATTAGAAACTATTCCAATAATCTGAGAGAAAATTTAACAATTCATTTGTGCAGATGGACAGGTTGTTTAAAAACCAGATTTTTACTAACAGTTACAATTCAAGAAGTGATCAGTTAATTCACACAGAAATCCCCTTCTCTGACCAATAATTCTAATGTAAACATTGCCTAGAGTTCTATAATAGATATATTTATTATCTAATATTGGTTAAGTAACAATGGTAGGGGCTGTAAGAAGGTTGAAAACCATTAGACTTTACAGTGATTAGAAATCTCAAATTCTTCTTGAAAGAAAAATATGTGATTCCCCTTCACGCCCTAAAATAATCAATTATTGATGTACCTTCGAAAGAAGTAACTACTTTGCAGAGGTTTTTTTTGTTCTGTTGTCTAGCTTTGCTGGCTTGGCTGATGGTCTGTAGAAAAGCCTTCCTCCCCACAAATGTTGGTGAAGGAGTGCAGGTGTAGAGTTGGAGGAGATCTGAAATGCTGTAGTCCAAACAGACAAGAAGAAAAGGCCTTAGAATCTGACAAAAGCAATTCAAAAGGATGGATTTATGATTGTGATGGGAAGATTAGAGACTCTCAAACTAGTGATGGTTATGCTGTTTGTGCTTGTTTGCAGTTTTTTCTTTCCTCCTCTTGTTGTTTTTGAGGGTGCACACCTGATGTGGTATTAGAAGCATCTCAGGAAAGGTAAAGCAAGCTGTGTTCTGGAAGAAGAGCTGATAAGTCACATCTCTAGGCCTTAAAGCCTGCTTGATTTTTTTGGTTAAAAACAAGAATTCATCCTGTCATGTGTGGTATTACGTTGTGCAGAAATTAGTCTGACGCATGGAAATGTCTTCAGAAAGAAACTTTAGACGAGCAGTGGATCAGGACTGAAAAATAATTATTTTAAAAATGAATATTTAGCATCTATTTTTAAAGCATATTATCACTGTTGAGCTTCACAACTGATATAGTTTCTGTCCATCTGCAGTATTTAAGCTGGTGTGATACTTTTGTTTCAAATTTAATGTGAAGAAAATATGCTCCCACCGTCCCTTTTAGGAAAAAAAATCTGAGGCTTCACATAAATTTGGCCTTCTAAACACCTGTTTTGCAGACCTGTGTCAGTGTGAAAGACTATTTTGTGTATTTCTGGTTTGTTTGTTTTTAAAGCAACCCAGCCAGGACCCTGAGGATTCTTCATGTTCTTCAGCACAGCGGAAACTGAACAGGCAGTTTTACAGATTTATTATATTCCCTGGCAAATGGATTAAAGTCTGGTATGATCGTCTTACCTTGTTGGCATTGTTGGACAGGTAAGCTATCTTTTTAATGCATCTCTGTGTAATGCTACAGAGGGTGGCTCCACAAGTCCATAGAGCAATGCAGATGGTTCTTGTTACCCTTTGCCTTCAAGCAGAGACTTTGATTCATGTGAGCACCAGGCCTGTATAGTCTTTTAAGTTGACTCTTAGCTGTTGGATCCAATGGTTCAGAGCTTTCTGATGAGAAAATCAGGTTTTTGTGCAAAAATACAGAAGTGGAGGGGCTCCAGGGTATTGTGAACCAACTACTCCAATCTTTTAAAAAATAAATAAATTACAGATGATACTCAGGAGGAGATCTTTCACCTGCTTCCTTGGTTTCAGTTCAGGTTTATTTAGAGAAAATTTCTTGTCTTGGCATCTCTCATTTTTCTAATCCCTCAGTTTCATTTGGCATCAACTCTTCAGGCAGAGCACTTTGTTACTAGACCTCATGTGGTAATCTGCCAGACTACTAGGAGTTTCAGACATGTTTGGCTACATACCTCATGGCTGCTGGCTCTCCTGTTTCTGCTTTTGGGTGGATGCCCTGTCATGTATGTTAATAAGGGCTCCACAGGAGAAATTTCAGATTACAGTTTTATATGCTGCAGAAATCAGGCTATTGTAGTCAGGGAGCTTAGGTCCAGAGCAGATACATATCTGTGGTGTCTTATCTCTGTGTTTCAATTGCATGGAGAGCATCTGCTGATAAACTCTTTTGTTGTAGCCTGAATATTAACATTGTTTTTTATCTCAGCTTCCTTGTTCTAATAGAACAGATAAAACATCAAGTGACAAATTTGGTCTTTCACCTAATTCTTCGCTGTCAGGCATATATTTTTCATTAAAAAAATGTCTTATTTCCTCATTTAAAAGTGTTTGGTTTTAGTTTTGTGGGGGTTTTGTTGTTGTTGTTGATGATGGTTTTTGTTTGATTGCTTTTAATAAACAGGCACTTGCCTATATTCGAATCAGCTCCACTGTGGAATTATATTTGGGAAGTGAGATTGAAGGGTGCTGGAATTCAGTGCCTGTGTTTTTTTCTATATGTTTTAGCTATCACAGTGGATAAGGTCTTTGGCATGGGGGTGAGGTACTGTTAAACATGGAAATGCAGTTTTGGGAGCAAAACCTCAGATTCTGTAAATTCTGATAGCTCCAGCACTGACAGTCCATACCAGCTGCAAATGAATCTGCCTTGCTCTAATGGATATATAAATATTTGTACTTCTCTTAAAATTTTCATTGACATAGGACAGAAGATATAAAGGAGAATGTATTTGCTATCCTTCTAGTAGTTCTTGTTTCGCTTCTTGGATTCCTGACTCTGAATCAAGGCTTCTGTAAAGACATTTGGGTTTTGTTGTTCTGTCTTGTGATGGCCAGCTGCCAGTATTCTCTCCTAAAGGTAGGACACAAGTTCATATCCAATTGCTGAATTCTCTTCTATGAAGTCAAAATCTTTTAAGCAACTTCTTATTTCTGTTTTGTTTTTAGAGTGTTCAGCCTGATCCTGCTTCACCAATACATGTAAGTCTTGGCCCATATAACAAGTTTTTCTCCTTTATTATAATTTGTGTACTGTGAAACAACTGGTTGTTTAGTGAAACACGAGTATAAGTAGTTCACTGTTCTGGGTGGTTTATGAAAAGGAGCAAGATGTCTGTGATTTTGATACTTTGTTCTACATTTACTTAATTTTAAGCTATTTGAATTTATCACTGCTACTAGTTTTTCTTTAAACTAAAATGTGCTGTAAAAACAAGTACAACTGGAGTAGTTTATTTGCCGAAATTCAATCCAGTGGCATCAGACAAGCTTTTTCTTTCTAGAAACAGAGACTGAAAACAGCAGAAGTTCCAGATTAGCACCTCAGTCATTGGTCGGATGGGGCTTTAAATATTTTTTGTTGTGGTTTTTGAGTTGGGGATTGTTTTGTTTTGTTTTGTTTTGTTTTTAATCTAGTATTGCAGATGTATTTTTCAATAGTATTATAAGCTTTTCAAATGGCACAGGTGTTTTCCCTTTGTTATAATATGGTCACAGTTTCTGTGCTTGTGTCCTGAAGAAATGGCCAGATCTGTGGGTGAATGCAAGGTGTGAGGATATTTACTGGTTGCTATTTGTCTGTTGAGTATATCTGAGAAACTGAATTCTGACAGTGACAACTACTTTGTAAGAAACCAGTTCCTTACCCAAGGCTGTCCTCATTATAGGAATTGTTTAGGAGCATCATCCTACAAATGCAGCCTGACCCCTCCACCTGTCACAGTATCTCAGTGTTTATGGTTTGTGTCTTGGAAGACATTTCAGTAGTCATGAGGTCCCTTGATTGCTTTTACACTGGTTGCTTTGTTGCTCACCTTTCTTATTTAGCTCTTGGAATGCTTTTGAGAACTCCCTCTCTTTCCTCAGGGTTCCAAAGCAGCATGTTGAAAAATGCAGGTCTGCTGGATTATTTCTCTTTGGCAGGGAGCAATTATTTTTGTCAGTCCAGAGGCTAGAAATACAGGTTGAACTTGAAACTGAGGTTATTTACAATTGTATGCTACACATTTCACTGAGATAGATTTCTGAAGATTCTTAGTTTCTTTTCTGCACCAGTTATTATGGGGTGAACTTATGGTATTGTTGGTTATAAAGCATTCACAGGAAATACCTGTCTGCATAAAAGGTAGGGAAGGCTAATAAACAGCAACTTACACATTGTAGGGTAATATTTTCAATACATTAAAGAAATATTCCTACCTCAGTAAAAAGTTGGGGGTTTTGGGGACTAAAATAATACTTTGTCAGTTCAGCTAGCACGTGTCCAGGCATAATAATGTGGACTGTAATCAAATAGTTTGCGCTTATTCAGACATTAGTAATGTGTGCATTTGTTTAAAGTGTATGGCACACAGTTTAATCAAAATTTCATTGTAAACCTCTCTAGCCCATATTTTTTTATAATATTAAAGTCAAAGTAGCTAGTTAAATTTAAACAGAACATTTTTTGTGCAGAATCCAGGTTTACATTTCAAACTCCCACAATACTGTTACAACTATTATTCACCATGTTGTATTCTGTGTGTCATGCGGTAGTGTAGTAAAGTAACTAATAGGTGTATTCCTATCTTCCATATGCTTTCCCAAAACTTTGTTTGTTAGGGACATTTTCTTGCAAGCTTTTTGATGCACCATAAGAACACCAATGGAAATAAAATTTAGAGAGTTTTACCACAGAGAATTTTAAAGGTGAAAGGTGTTATAGGTAAAGTTAAACTAGAAGATTAGCTGTTTCTACATTATACCTTTTTAACACAATAGGTACTTGTAAAGGATTGCCTAAGCTAGAAAGGACCACAAAAAAATAAGACAACAAGAAGGCGAGAAAAGATACTCCATGTACTGTTTCATAATTCATGTGACTACATTAAAATTAAACAGAATAACATCTCTTGATGTTAATGTAAGGATGCAGAACAGCAGAGGGATTAAAGAATGATCAGTACCATGTCCATGAATAAAAATGCAGATGAGATTTTTCAGTTTGAAACAAACCATCAGATTTGCACACTGAATTAATTTATATTCTTGGATCCACGAGTAGCCACTAATGCCTTATGTTATCCATGCCTGCCAGGGAGGTTCCAAACTTCTTCCCTATCTCTCACATGCAGACTTTGTTACTGTTTGATGTGACTTTGTCATCTCTAGCCTATACCATTTTGAAGGACTGCTTTAAAATACCATCCGGTGAATTCAGAAAACACAGTGCCTAGGGGTGCGTAAAGCTTTTGTCCTGAACTCCTTCTGAGTGACAGAGTATTCGCTTCCTGGTGATGAGGAAGAGCTTGCTGACTGAATCCTGTGTTGTCTGGTACAATTTTGTTGGGGATAAGATTATTTCTTGCCCCATACCATGCTGTATATTGTCTATATACTGAGTCGAACAGTGTATATTGTCTATATACTGTCACTGTGGTAAGGGATGAGTTTCACTATATAGAGAAGAACCTATCTAACTCAGCTAATGTTTTTAATTTTGTATTAATTCATAGTCATTTTACTGAATTGTGATAATAGTCCTGTTTTGATGAGCTTTGGTGTTTAAATGGGAACTTCCCAGGTTCTACATCTAATGCTGGTCACTGGCGTTTATTGTAGCTGCAGGTTTAGTAGTGTTGCCAGCTACAAGTTGAGAGCCTAATTTTCCTGTCAGCCTGTGCTTTAACCTTTCCAGTTCTGGTCTGTTGGGAGCTGATGGCCTTTAGTTGCTGTTCACACAGGGTATGTGGTTCTGGGATGGTGAAATTCAGAAACAGCCTTCTCACTGGAGTGGTGGGGAGAAGAAAATAAAGTCCATCCCAAGTGTAAGTTGTATCAGTTTATTAGCAGCAGAATATTTGAGGACCAGCTGCTTTTGAGGAGCGGCTGAGGGAACTGGGGTTTAGTCTGGAAAAAAGGAGGCTGAGAGGAGACCTTATCACTGTCTACAACTACCTGAAAGGAGGTTGTAGCGAGGTGGGTGTGTGTCTCTTCTCCCAGGTAACTAGTGATAGAACAAGAGGAAATGGCCTCAGGTTGCACCAAGGGAGGTTCAGATTAGATATCAGGAAAAATGTCTTAAATGAAAAGGTCATCAGGCACTGGAACCGGCTACCTAGGGAAGTGGTTAAGTCACCATCCCTGGAGGTGTTTAAAAGATGGGTAGATGAGGTGCTCAGAGATATGTTTTAGTAGTGGACAGGTACAGTTGGACTTGGTCATCTCAAAGGTTTTTTCCAACCAGGAGATTCTATGATTCTATAAGGGAGGTGCCAATGACTGCAGGGTATTATAATCAGAGATACAAGAGGTCTTTCTTGTATGCATTTCAAGGTTTTGGACAAGCAGCTTTGTCTGCAGAGTTTCTTGATACTGGTTAGAGGCAGCATCAGACTGGGCAATAAAGGCTGTGTCTGTAGTAAATGGCTATACAGAAGGATCATGAGAGCTTGTCCCTCATAAGACAGCTGTATAGCTCAGGATCTAGTTCACGTTTGCAAAAGCATTCGAGCTTTGAAAGATTGCAGTCATGCTCTTAGTAAGATTTACAGAATTGCTCACATAACTTCATTGTCTCGGTCCCATTACCTGCCAAAGCAGATAGCTAACTCAGTTGGGCAGCTACCATAGGCAGCTTCATAAATCCCATAAGGCACTTAAAGTATTTTTAATTTGTCTCTGTAAACTTTTCTGTAGAACTGAACACACGCACTTTTCTTTTTATATAAAGCCTTCTGTCTTTTTCCTCTTGCATGTGTGCACCGGCAAACAAAAAAATCATTGGATCTTTCTGCAATTTCCCCATCAAAATGCTTTGCAGACAAAAGTGCTGTTTTACTAAATGGAAGTGTTTGTGAAATTATTCTAGCTTTGTTCAAAATCTTAATATTTTTATCAAAATATGACATGAAGCAATGCTGTGTTTGGATGTGAATAATGAAAAATAATGAAAAACATGGACCTGAAAAAGTCAGTGACATTTTTTGGCAGACTTAGGAAGAGTTTTCACTAAAATTTTCATCAGCAGAGAAAAAAAATATTGTTCAACAAATGAGATGTAAAATATAAAAGGAATCCCACTCCTACTTCATTATTTAAATTCTTCTGAAGGAGAATGCAGAGCAGAGTAGTTTCACCAAGATGAAATAATTTTTGCCTGTCAAAAGTTGATGAGTTTGTCTAGCAGAACAGAAAGAGCCCTTAATATCTAAAATATCTTGTTGATAAGTTGCACTGCCATATGCCCATTTTGGCCTGTCAGTGGCGGGCAGAAGGGGGCTTTGCCCCCTTTTTTGTTGTTTTTTGTTTGTTTGTTTGTTTTTTTCCTAAAACCTTGAAAAGAGGAAGTGTAATGTCCATTCCATGGCTGTGGCTTTCAGGAGGTGATGTACCATCCCAGTGATCCTCACTCTCCTGGAAGATGTCTGCTGTTGGCCTGAAACCGGTCCTGTCCTGAATAATCCCCCTCACACGAGGGCTGTAAATGACAGTGCAGTACAGCACTAATGCTCGCAGCAGTTCCTCTTTCTTGTGTTGTCTGTTCCCCAGATGCAGGGACTGGAGTCTCTGCTGTACTGTGGGAAGCTCGTTCAGCTCAAGCGCATCCCAAGCAGCATGACAGCAGTGCAGCCAGTGTCCTTCTGAGTGCATCGCTGCTGTGCTGCTTTGCTCCTGTTGATCTGATAGGAGGCAAAATTTCCTTTTCAGGAGTCTGTCTCATTCCCCACCACCACCTAAAAATAGGGAAGGTATGAAAACTCCTTCCTCAATCCTAACTGGCATTATTGTTATTAGCATGGTAAGAGTGATTTATTTAAATAGAATAAATCACTGTTTCAGTTGGAAGGGACCTACAATGATCAACTATTCCAGCTACCTGACCAATTCAGGGCTGACCAAGTTAAAGCATATTATTAAGGACATTGTCCAAATGCCTCTTGAACACTGACCAGCCCTGGGGCATTGATCACCTCTCTGGGAAGCCTGTTCCAGTGTTTGATCACCCTCTTGGTAAAGAAATGCTTCCTAATGTCCAGTCTGAACCTCCCTTGGCACAGCTTTGAACCATTCCCATGTATCTTACCACTGTATACCAGGCAGAAAAGATCAGCACCTCCCTCTCCACTTCCCCTCCTCAGGAAGCTGTAGAGAGCAATGAAGTTGGCACTCATCCTCCTTTTCCCCAAACTAGACAAACCCAGAGTTCTAGCTGCTCCTCACAGGACATGCCTTCCAGCCCTTACACCAGCTTTGTTGCCCTCATCTGGGCACATTCAGGGATCTCGCATCCCTCTTAAATTGTGGGGCCCAGAACTGCACACAATACTTAAGGTGAGGCTGTACCAATGCTGAATACAGCAGGACAATCACCTCCTTTGACCGTCTGTCTGTTTATGCTGTGTTTGTTTGATGGACCCCAGGATGTGGTTTGCCCTCTTGGCTGCCAGGACCCACTGCTGGCTCCTATTGAGCCTGCTGCCAGCCAGCACCCCCAGATCCCTTTCTGCAGGGCTGCTCTCCAGCCCACCCCTCTCTTGATTTATACTTGTGCTTGGCATTACTCTGTCCCAGTTGCAGAATCTGGCATTTTGACTTGTTAAATTTCATCCCATTAATGCTTCAATCTATCTAGATCCCTCTGCAAGGCCCCTTGTCCTTCAGGAGGTTCAACAGCACCTCTTAGTTTGGTATTATCAACAAACTTGCTAATGGTGTGTTCAACTCCTGCATCCAAATCGTTGATAAATATATTGAACAGAACTGACCCTGGAATTGAACCCTGAGGAACACCACTGGTGACCAGTTGCCAGCCAGGTGTAGCCCCATTCACTTCAACCCTCTGAGCTCTGCAATTCAAACAATTCTTCAGCCAGCACACCGTGAACTACTTTAGAAGTCAAGAGTTAAATATACACTGAAAACGTAATTGAGTATGTCTGTCAGTGTTCTGCTTGGAACTGAAAGGTGTGTGAAGCTGAACCTCTGGACTTCTAGTCATCAACTCCATCTTGCCCAACTGCCTTCAAATAATTAACATGCAAAGAGAAAACCTGAATTCTGTAATTCAAGAGATAAGACAAGAATGTAACATCTCAGTGAAATAGACTTTGATTTGGAGTGCACATTATGATATAAATCATTAAGCAATTGTTTAGATGCAATACTTATGGGTTCCTTTTCCTAAGGCAGAGCTTGTGTTGAAGATAAATGAACTGAAGTTTAAAAACAACCAGAAAGTAATATTTTAGGTGATTTTTTTTTTTTAAGTCAGATTCTTATCTTTCTAATTCTCCTTCGATTTTTTTTGTGTGTGGATGAGTGTCTTTTTTTTTTAAGGCATTAGTGAAATTAAAACTCTGATTACAAACGGCTAAGATTTGTCAGTCTGCCTTGATTCATTTTCCATGGATGTGAGGTGCAATATAAGCCTGCTAGTTCCCTGCAATCTGCCGCCTTGTTACCTGATTGATTCCAAAAGAGAGTAGAGATCATTTAACAGCGATGCTAACATACAAGCTTGGCTGGCAGCCAAACAAATAATATGGCCACTGTTTCAAATCAGTAAGTAGCCTCAAAAAATAAATTATCTTTTATTATACTCACTTAAATTACATTGTACAAATAAGAACAGTTTCACAGCAGCTTTTATGCAAAGCAAACTTGAATCCTTATCACTTTTCTCCTGTCTTTTCACACTCAAGAAATCTTTTGACTCACCAGCATGTAAAATGTCTTATTTACCCTTAGGCTTGCTACCAGGAGAACTATTAAGACTTTTCTTAAGTGTCTGTTATTCTCCCTGGCCCGTGGCCCCACAGCAGTGTGTCGTAGGATTAGTGCGAATCAGTTGTGTGAGAGATGTGTACGAAAAACCTAAGATAAGGATCCTACCACATATTAGTTCCTTTGGATCGTCATTTCAAAGTGCTACATGAGAGAGAGACCAGGAACTGCTGATGAGTGTCACCCAGTCCAGGAGGGACACTGATTTGCTCTGAAGTGGTTCAAATCAACAACAAAAAAAATTGAGTTATATTGTTGCAAAAAAAATCAGTCTCCATGCCTCACACTGCACCTAGGAAGTGCTCTACTATTTTTTTACTTCCCATGATGCAATTAAAAATTAATTTTATATTTCATAAAGTTAAAAAAAAAAAAAGCCAAGCTATCTGAAGCAGACATTCATTAAAATAAAATTAATAGAGAGAAAAATTATTTTTCTGTTGAAAAGAAAGGTTCAGACAAATTGAGGGTTTTTTCCTCCACAGGAAATGTTGACTTTTGCAATTAGTGTGTTTTGAATGGTCTAGAAGGTTAGATTTCAAAAGCTTAAATGATTGCTGGAGTTTGTCTTAACTGCTTTTTGTGCATTTTGACAGTCTCCTCTGGAAAAGATAAAATACCTTGTAACATTTTTATTATTAATTAGTATGTATAAGTCATTAAAATATTTTGTCTGACTCCTGACCCTCTCTTCAGTTTAATGCAGTGCACACAGTAGGAGAGTGAATACAAAATTCAAACACTTTTTTTCTTTTTTGTCTTTTTTTTTTTCCCCAGGGGCACAATAAAATAATAACCTACAGCAGACCTGTATATTTTTGTATATTGTGTGGCCTTATTTTGCTGCTAGATGCTGGATCTAAAGACACAAATCCTCCAGTTTATACAATGTATGGCTTGAAGCTCTTTTCACCTAGATCTCTTCAGTCAGCCAGAGACCATGTAATAGGTGAGTCAATATTTTTCCTAGGATTGTAAAAATGAATTAAGCGTTAGTTAGCTGGGGAAGTCTGTGTTTTCCCATGTTGGCAATCAAACACATGTTATGGAGGCACAGCTCTAAGTCAACTTGATAGAAACATTTGGAATGACTTAAGATGAATGCGGGGGGTGGGGGACAGCTGGCAAACTTCCCTCATGTAAAAGGAGTTCTTAACGAAATGAGGCTCATAGAAAAGTCTCTATAGAAAACTAACAGTCACTGATGTTATTAGCAAAAGCCATCATCTGCGAAATGCAGTTAATCTTTGGAAGAGCTTGTCTGTGCTGAGCAGTTACTGCAGAATAAGCAGAGTTTTAAATTTAATGTCTGGAAGCTAATATGTGTCAAGCCCTCAGATGGACATTTTTCCACTCATGAGGAAAAATGTTTTGTCTTGGCTTAGTTTAATCTTGCTGTCCTCATGATGAGTTAGTGTGGAGCAACCACTCCACAGTAGCTTTTCCAACCTGTTTCCTTCTGGAATAATGTCCTGAGGTGGCTGAGGATATCCAGGTATTACCCCAAAATGGGACTGATGGTCCTTTGGTACTAATTTGGAGTGGCCACAGCTGGAAATACCCCGTTCTGTCAGGACACTTCTTCCTGTTACACACTTGCCATCTCTAACTGTGTGCTGCTCTAGTTGTGTTGCAGATACGAGTGCTGAACTGGCTCAAGTCAAGTAGTACTTCATACAGTTAGATATGACATAGAGGAGGTAAAGGTTGCTGTAAAACCTGTGAAAACTTCCCAAGAGCTGTGTCATGGTGTACCAAAGGCAATCTGTTGGTTTGTGAATTTAGAACCAGGAAAACCTGTAGCAGAGGAAAAAACTGAGATATAGAGTGTATGACCTTTGATGTCTTTGTTCACCTGTGACTGTTGTACTTGCTTTTTTGCTATATTTCAAGCCAGGTTATTACTGCCTGAAAAACACACTATTTTTAGGAAAGTCTACTGGTCCTTTATATGGGTTCATTGACTCTCAATCCTTCTTACTAGAAACAGGGGAATAATGAAGACCTGCATCTCACTTATTTTCATTAGCTTCTTTCATTATTTTCCTTTGGTCTCATTAAAGTTTCTTCTTACATCTTATTTTCTCTGCTTGTCAAAGGTGAACCGTAAAAATGCTGATAAATAATTCAACAAGAATCTTAAATGACTCTTGGGATAGAGATAAATGAAAAACTATAGCAACCAGTATAAGAAAAAAGAGTGTAGTTATAAATGTGCTAATTTTGGCTGGCCTCAAAAGAGATGGTGGAGCAGGTTCTTGAAACAGCCTGAAGGGGATGAGAGAAGAAATACAGGCTGAACTCTCCAGCTGGCATCTGTTTAATGAGAGAGAGAGAGAAGAAACCATTTCTCTCTGCTTGTTCCCCATTCTTATTTTGCCATCTCTGGGAGCTGGCACATCTGTGGGTGTATTTGTTCAAGTGATGTTTGGTGCTGCACTCTGGCAATTCCTTGCTTTGTCTCTATGGGAGTCCCAGCTTCAGGTTGCCATCAGTCCTTGCAAGTGTTCACACTGCAGCTACTTCCCTAAGCCATGGCAGTCAATATCCTCCAGCATCTTGCTGTGCTTTGAGTACAGATTCCCTTAGGCACCGAAAGTATAGAACTGTTTTGGACAGTATTTGTTTTGGGGGGGGGAAGTTGGCCCCACGGAATGCCAATGAAGTGTTGCTGTTGTTTGGTGGTTTTACCCATTTTGATGTCTGTACGGTGGCAGGTACTTTTGACGTCTTTTTATTGGTATGTCACCATATGGTGACTTTTTAATTTATATTTTACTCATAATTTATTGTAGTATTCAGAGTTGATATGTTGGGAAATCCATGAATTTTTTACTATACACTACAAATACTGAGGAAAGGAAAAGTTTTCTGTATCAGGTGTTTTACTGTGGTAAAAAGCTAAAGTCATGAAAATCATAGAAAGGACTTACCAAGGAACTATTGTGATGCTGCATAGCATGCTATGATAAAAGTCTTGAAATAAAGTACTAAAAGTAAATCAGTGGAAATTTGTTAGATGTGTAACCTAATTACTTAAGAAACGTGTTTTTTAACAGGTCCGTTTCTTTGTGAGCAATGTATTTAGGATCTGAGTCTATATTCTTTTAAATTGATGATGGTTCTGCTATTTATTTATATTGGTTGGGAGATCACGACTTTAATTCATTCTAACTATGATTTTCATCTTGAATTCCTTACTTCAATTAACGTTTTTGCTAGATTGACATAGGTATTGCAAGTCAGGGTACAGACAGAGCCAGCCTCAGTCACTAAGTGCTACAGGTGTTGTTAATGACAGAAGTAGTTACATGCTTAATGCATGATAATGCATTTGAACATTAGACAGATGAGTGAAATTATTTGGCAGATATCTCAGAAGAGTTAAGTATCAGGTGGTTGCAAAATTTTGTGATAGCAAGTCCTCTGCCTGCTACTTTTAGCAATGACTGAGCTTCTATCAGGGGACGAAAGCCTCTGTGAATGCTGTTCTCAGCCATGTTCAGGAGGGGATGAACAAAAAGACTATTTGTCACTCAATGCATTATTATTTTTTTTCCTCTGTGAAGATGTATTATTACACAGCAAAAGGAGTAGTACTCAGATATATAAATTTAAAAAAATAATAATTTTCTAAACTTTTAAAATGTTGGCAGTGACATTGCCACTGAGTTACCATTCTGTGTTTTTCAAAAGACCCAAAGTTTCCAAAGTCAGTATTTTTGTTTCCCTCCTACACTTATCATCTGGTAGCTACTGCTTTAGAGGAAACCTACAGTGTTAAATGCCAGCAGCTCACATAAG